AGACTACCCATGTGAATACGTTTAACCATATGTGAAAGTCCCTGCAGGATCAGGAATCCTGAGCAACCCAGGTACCAGCTCAAAACCCAGAGCACAATGTTTCTTTAACCTGTTCCACAGGAATCTTGCCTTTCCAAGCATTTTTTTTTAACACCTAAGGCATGTTTGCTTTTGAGAGGTTTGGGAGGCATTGCATCTGAGTATAAATCTGTTGGAAATCTGGGGCTTTTAGCCCATTAAGAGGAAGATGCTGCTGCTGTGGCCATTCTGCAGAAATGGAGGAAACATTTTTCAAGCACGATGAGGATTCACAATTGGATTTGACAATATATACCTCTAATATTTCTACTTGCTCTCCATGTCTTCCAGCGCTCCCCTCCCACCCCAAAGCACCAACCCCCCATATTCCAGCTCAGCCCCAAAAACTGCTAGTCAGCTACCACGTTAGTTGTAGCCTGGCAGAGCCGGGGGAGAGACCCGTAACAGGACACAGTCAGCCCAGCTGGATGCCTGAAGCCAGAGGGTGTTTCCAGCTCTCCCTCCATTTCTCAGCCCCTCTGGAAACAGAGCCACTACCTTTTCTCTGTGTTAACTTGACCAGCGAGAAAATCCCCATCCATTTATCAATGCTCTTTCCGTCTGGGAGAGCTCAGCATGGGCTGGTGCTTTGCTGCGGTGCTGCCGCAGCGCACCAGTGCTTCGAGCCCGGCCGATGCTCCCACCTCGTGCCTGCAGCCCGGGAGCTCCCCGCGAGCTCAGGGTACAGTCCTGCTGACTGGGGTCACAAGTTCATATGATTAAAACTCTTCCTACATCACATTACAGGGCAGGGAAGCAAAAGACAGGGTTTATTTATAATCTTCCTCAAGTGCAAACCAGAAGTAGTGACCCATTATTACTGGAGACTTTTCAAGCCACCCAGGAAGAAAAGCAATATTTAGTTGTCGTTAAAGGCTTATAACTGCATAACAATTTCATGCTATGTTAACTTCTAGGTTTTCTTTTGCATATAAATTTTTAAGGAGTAAAATAGAAAAACCCAGGCACTTGACCTTTAATCACAGTTATTTGTGTGATCAGTCAAGTGTGGGAAAAAGCTAGTTTGTGCTTGAAAGATGCCCTTTAAAACTAGATTGCTCTAATATGACACACAACTCACATGGTGTAATATATGGGATCTCTCTTACCAGCCTCTGGGGCACAACAGCCTCCCATTTAGTATTCATGCGCAGGATCTTGCTGCTGGTACATTGGAAGGTATTAATGTCATGAAGCAAATCGATACAGACCCCTGGGATAGCTCCATTCACCACCGAGACCCATGGGAGGTGTACGCATTCATGTCATTGAAGAACCAAACAGGGAAGAGCATTTTCAATGTATATGGAGGATTTGATGTTAGAGATATGTTTCACTAGAAGGAGGGTATGTCATGCTAACAGAGTACAAAGCTTTTCCATTTATCTGAAATACTATTTCAAGCACTTACAAAAGCTTAATATTAGAACAGCCAGAGGTATTTTAATTACGATTTTGAAGTATCATGTTGTTTTGGGGAAATGATCTCATGAATTCTTCTTTGGCAAGACTGGATGACTAAAAGCCATTGCTGGGGTGAAGGAAGCAGAGCAGCCTTTTAAATTGAGACTATTGGATTTATTAATTATCAGGCACAGCTGGTGACCAGGGACGGGCCTCTGAGCCCAAAGACAGGCTGCGGCACAGCCAAGCAAGCACCAAGGACATGGCCCCACGAGGGCAGAGGGATGCTGTCCCCGGGACGGCACAGCAGACCAGCTATCTCCTCAAGCACCAGGCGTGACGAGGGGCCAGTTTCTTTAAGCGAAAGAAGAGGAATACACCCGTGTTGTCTGGTCACCTCTGTCACTCACATCCAGCACAGGGGCAGCTTCCCTCACCCGACTCCCGAGTGCTACCACAGCCACAGGGTGAGCCTGGAGAGACAAGAGTGGGAAAGCAAAGAGACCTGGTTATCCAGGCTCCAGATTGCCAGGGGAACTTCTGCAAAGAGCTGGGGCCAGCATGGCCCAGAAAATGTGTAATTCGCCGAGGTGAGCTATTACCTGCTGTAAGAGAGACAGAAAGATAGTTTTGAAACCACAGTGAAAATAACCCTCCTGGAAAAAAAAAATCAATACAAACACCAAGGAAAGAGGATCAGAATCCGAGACCATCAGTTCCTGAGATAAAGAGTTTAAAGTCTCAGTGGGAGGACAACCAGATCTGGACTTAAAAACAAAACTTTGTTTCTTTTGCTGACAAATGACTTTTTATGCTAAAGGACAAAGGAGCCAGGAGGATATGGGCCTTGGTATGTGGCTGTAAGAGCTGCCCTTGAAGAAAGAAGGAGCAGGCAGAAACCTCACAGAAGCTTTTGCACCTCTCTTTCCTCTTCCACACTTGAAATTATTTTCTCACAACTGAAAACAAGGGAGTTGTGCAATTTCATGCTGTTTTGGGCATGTCACAAAAACATGCTCCAGGACAAGTTTTGCTGCTTCTGCTGGGATGATGCTGGAGTCAGAGCAGAGCAGGCAGCAGCAATACAGCACAAATGTATCTGGCATTAAGTAAATATCCCACACAGGAAAGTGGCAGAGTTAGCGTGGCTCAAACCATCCGCACCGGGTACCATCGGCGCCTCGCCGACCCGCTGCCCCCGGCTGATCCCAGGGCTCAGACACCGCTTCCCAGGAGGACCACACTCCGTCGCAGTCAGTGCCTTCACAGCCTGCTGCCGACAGCGCCATCTCGTCCCTGCGCCATCTCCTTGCTGCTAACTGGTAGAAATCACAGTGAAAATAAAAGTTAATGTAAAGCTTCCCCATAAATCTCATGATCAAACCTCCACAGCCCTGCACCATGGGCTGCAAAAGGAAAATACTCTGTGTATTAACTCCTTTTACCTTCTATGTTGTTTGTCTGGAAATAAAAGCAACCAGAGTTATGTGTTTGTTTTTAAAGGCTTAATTTTTCTGTCAGATGTGTACTCTTTGCTTCAGGATCTCTGTACTGTAAATGTTTTGCAGCAGCTTTTTAGCTTTTAAGGTAATCACATAAAAGATCCTTGACTACATAAAGGCAGCTAATCTGGGTAAATGCCTTTAAGCATCTTTACATTTCTTGCTAATGGATTTCTAGGCAGCCCCCAGAGATCCACGTTCTAGAAAATAATGTAAAATATAGTAAGTGTCTAATTTTTTTAAATGCCTCACATTTGTCATATACTGAGAAAATCCAGAGCTCCAGGCAGCATAAGATCATTATACTTATATAAGTAATACTCCATTCTGTCATCATCAATATAAAACCCAGCCTTTCACTGGGGGCAAGGACCCATTCAGCGTTAAATTCCAACTCAGCCGGAGACAAATTATCACACACTATTAATTAGAACCAGACAGGAGGGATCCAGGCGCTGCAATCTGGTGACAGAATCTGAAGGGCAAGCCAAGGCATTTACTGAGCTCAGGAGTCGCGCGTGGAAAACGTTACCCTCTCCCCGCCTCGAACCGCACTCTGCGAGCAGCAGGAGGACTCGTGGAGGGTGATGCCATGCCGTGCTTTCTGCTGCGCGGAGCCAAGCAGCTGGCAAAGGTGAGAGGTGAGTGCAAACCACTGTGCAGAAGCGGGTCTCCCCTAGTGCCCCGTGCGCTTCCCGCCCCTCTGCCCGCTCCCCTCGGAGCCGGGGGCAGGACCGTCCACGCACAGCAGTGCGGCAGCACTGCAACCCTGCACCCCACCAGGTAGCAGCCCCGTCCCTTACTTCCCGTCAGGGTCCAGGGCTCACCACGCATACCTGCAGCCCACACAGGGACCCAACGCGGGCAAGTTAACGCTCTGCCTCACCTCTTCTGGCGTTGAGGGGTGACGAAGGGCCCCTGGCCCAGGCAATGCTGTGCCTGCTCGGCAGCGCTCTCAGGACCCTGCTGTCCCAGGCTGCCCCAGCCCAGGCTGGGCGCGAGTCCTCATGCTGCCTTCAGCTCCAGTCACAAAACCCCTGTAAGGGAAAAAGCACCTATTTTAAGAGCTATCTGATGTAATTATCTCTGTGGAGGAGGAACCAATGGATGCACAAGTGCAGATGGGCCACCTGATTCTGTAGATTTATTACACACATTAATTAGACTCCCTGTGCCATTCCCAGGGGACTCAGACCCACAGCTGTGCAGCTCGGTGCACATGGGGACAGGGGTGTGTAGCAAGTGCTGAGAGCACCAGGCCAGCGAAGCCGCTGGCTGCTGGGGGAAGGCAAGCCCAGCACCCTCAGGCTCTCCTCTGGCAGCATTCGGGGCAGCCACAGCCCCTGCAGCTCCCGGGGGTCTGCCCGGGCTCCCCCAAACCCTCCTGCCCCTCCACAGCCATGCGGGCTCGGCATGGGGAGCCAGGCAGAAACCCACCCGCAGTGGGGGGCTGGCTGGGCAAGCGCCCCGGACAGGTAATTAGTATCAGAAAGGAAATTTCAAAGGATTACAAATAAACAAAGGGAATCAATTATCTGATAGGAGGTTTTTGTCAGTCACACAATGGCATATAAATTACTGAGGCCAGAGAGCTGTGGGAGCCCAGGCCATAACAAAGCCAGACAAATCCGATCCCAGCCCAGCCCACAGTGGCACGCAGAGCCTCGCGTGGGGCCGACACAGGGCTGGAACACAGAGAGGAGAAAGAATTCCTTTTTAATTTTCCCAGGAGAAAACAACAGTTTGCATTTGCTCAGCTCTGTCCCAGCACAGGAGGGTTTGGTTCATTTTGTTCCTCGCCGAGTAAACTGGTGCTTCTGGCTCCGCTCTCGAAGGTCACTCCAGCCCAAGTGTTGCTCGGCCAGCACACAGAAAAGGCGATGTGAAGGCTCAGAGACCCAGCATCACCTGCTAACAGTGGACACGTGGGAAAACTGCAGCAAACCCATCCTGGCAGCTGCCTGGCTCCAGCATTTCACATAGAGCAATGGGGGTTTGTTGGTCGCAAGGAGAGGGGCAGGGGAGCTCCTCTCCCAGCCATTTGTGGTGCCCGGCACAGCCACCAGCCCGCTACACCAGACAGACCCTGCCCTCCCTCGGCCACAGCACTGCTCCTCCCCAAATGCCCTGAGCACGCGGCAGCAAGGGGACCTGCACATCCCCTGAGGGTCGTGGCAGTTGCCACTGACCGGCCACTGACCATGGCTCCAACACTCACCTGGGCAGCATTGATCAAGAAGAAACCATTTGGTGCCAATAGAAAAGTAATTTAGAGCCCCAGAGGAATCCAGCTGTAATTTAGTGCTAATTAATGTACAATTACTTAAAGTAAACATATTGAATTTGGGACTGTGTCCTGCCCCACCCATTCAGTCACTTCTGAGCAGCAGGATCAAAAATACCGACCTCCTGTGCTCCCACTGCCGATGAGCATAGGCACTGGGGCCGATGCCATCCCACCCCAGCAGGACCCCAGAGCCTCCCAGAGCCACCCTGCCCCTTTACTGCTGGCAACAAGTGCAGACCTTCGTGATGGAGGCGTGCACAGCACAGTTATAACCGGGCTGGGGGGGGGGTCCCGACCAGAGAGACATCCCAGCTCTCCCGGGGGAGGCAGGTCCTGCCCTGCAGAGATGCTTTGCCAGTGGTGCTGAATACAGGGTGGGACACCGGCATCCCGGTCTTTGCACAGATGGGCTTCTTCACACTCAAACTGCCCCTCTGCTCCTTCTTCTCTTACTCTGGTTGAAAGACAGAATTGCAGACTGAGAGCTCAGGTGTCTGAGCCTCTGAGAACCGAGGTCTGTGATAGAAATGATGATATACCTCAAGTAAAATGGTGCAAACAGCCATTATCATAATTTTGATACAAATTATGTGTAATTTGAACAAAGGACTTGTCCTAGCTTTGATTTGCTCTCCTTGTATTCCTGGCTGGTTTCATTAAAATCACTTATAGAGATTTGCAGCAGTTCTGTTTGAAGTGCTGTCATTAGGATTTTCATTTTCAGTGGCGTCGGAAATAATTTCACAGCAGGCTGTTTGTTTTACAAAGGGATCTGCAGCGTGTGGCCATTATTCATGGTCAGATGTGTTTCAGACAGAGCAGGACTGCTGGTCGTACAGCTGCGCGAGGCGAATGTCCGGCCTCGAGAGCCAGGGAAGGACGCTTCAGAGTGGTTATGGCAGAGGCCAGCACCTGCCCCGGTGCTGAGCTCTCACCGCAGCCTGTGCTCTTTCCAGACCTCCCTCGACTGCTCCAAGCAGTGCTGCACTGAATTTGCAACCCAAACCTTTGTAAATTTGAAGACTAAGTAAGTGCCAGGCTGGTTCGCGCTGCTCCCAAGGGGACCCACAGCTCTGCACGTGCATCTCCGCGCACCCCCAACGGGGGACCCCGAAGTGCCAGCGCACCTCAGGTGTGGATTTCCCTGTTTCAGTGTTTCCTCTATTTGTTAAGAGCTTTTTTACATTTAAGTCTTTGTGCTGATCATCATTTAAAATCAATTACCAAGATTTCTAACTTTATTGGCCCCTCAATAAAATGGCAGTAAATGTCCCTTAACAACAAGGGCACTGAAGTTACGGCACCAAGCTACAGTGGATTTCCTTGGAGCGAATGCTGCTCTGGCTCCTATTCATTAGGCAATCAAAGATGCAAGTTGCATGACACACTGATGAAGAAAGACACTTCGGAACTCACTCCGTAACTCAATCACCACAAGGCACTCACTAATTATCCCTTAGTCACGGGGTGAGGGTGACGGGGAGGTCATGCAGAGTGAGGCTTTTTCGTTTGTCCATGATAAAAGAGGGTAATATACTTTGCAAATGATAATTAGCAATTTACTCCAGCTGGGGCTAATTCCTAGATGCATTTTGCACTCCAGGACTCGGCACTTGGGCAGACTCTAAATAAGGCACCAGCACAGTGTGTCCAGCTCCATTAAAGCTCTCCGGTAATTATGGAGTGCTCGGTGCTCAGCGGAGAGCTGGACGGCTTCCCACACCCACGGGTGCCTCTGCTCTGCCTGCCACCATGCCGGGGCTGGATGCGGCCCCCCGGAGAGGGACCGCCAGCCGCTGGCCATGCTGTCCCCCGGGACACCTGCCATGGGGGTCCTACCGGCTCCGTCCTGATGATGCAGAGAGGGATCCTGCCCGGCCCCGCGCTCTGCCCCACTCCAAGCCCCTGGCTCAGCACTGGCTGTCGGTGGAAGGGGCATTGGGGAAAAGGCCTGCAGCTCAGGAAGCAATAAATTTGGTTTCATTATAACAGTGCACTCACGTCCCGGGGTGAGATTGCCATGTAGGTTTGCAAAAATACTGCTTAAATAAACAGAAAGGGAGGAAATACTGGAGAGAGTGTCCAATCTGCATTATAATTAGGGGAAAGAATAACAAATGGTAGAAACAACCTGTTCCCATCTGCAGCTGCAGTTTGTTCCTACTGTAGCTGAAAGGCCATGCACCATCCATACCAGGAGCTTCCTCTGGAAACGCATGAACGTTTCATTCAGCAAGAGGGGAAAAAGAGCATCTTTTTGTATTGATGCTTCATTACAGCAGAATCTGCAATAAGAGAGGATTTTATCAACGCAGACACTTACTGCTGTCTCCAGCCTGGTAGCAAAAGTGGGGGGCTGCACCCCTGAAAGGGTCTCCATGAAGAGAGCCAGCATGGGCACAGCAGTTAGGCTCCGGAGCTGGGGGTCACCCTGGTGTGCGGCCCTGAGCAGCGGTTCGGGGTCACCAGAGTCACCACCCGGCCAGCCAGAGTCAGAGGGTGCAGTGCTCAGTGGATGCATTTGAGACATTATTCAATCCCAGACTGACTAATTTATCCATAAACCTCCCTAATGAGGCTGATAGCGTAGGAATGGAAAGAAAGCAGCATTATTATCTGTAAACAGCAGCGGCTGACAGCGTGTTTAATCACAGGCTGCATAAAGGTAACGTCGGTGGAGGACAAGATCAGATACTTCTCCAATTAGTCGTACACCAAAGGCACGAACGCGGAGCCTGAGAGTCACTTAACCCACAAACCAGAGGAGCAAAGATCAAAGCTGGAGGCTGTCCCGGCGAGGGGGAGGCTTTCGGGGCCGGGGGCAGGCAGGACTGGAGCCGTCCCCGACACCAGGGCTTGCGCAGCCTGCGAGCGGGGAGAGCCCAGGCCACGCCACAGCCGGGCAGAAGCCACCGCCCGGCACAGAGTGCCCGGTGCTGCAAGCTGCCTGCTCCTAACAGGATTTTGCAATCTGCGGTGAATGTGCTAAAGGGATAGAGAGGTAAAGAGTTCATCCTACTCACTTTTCTCTGCTCCTTTCCTTTTTTCCTGAGCATCTCTCTCTCTCCTGGTTTTCTCTGGCTCACCTCTCCCTGCTTGAGTGCTCCTGAGGTCTGCAGATTAAAAGCATTAAAAAGAGACAGAAATTATTATATGAATCCTATTTATCACAAAGCAAATGGTATCTAGCGGGCTGCAGCCTTGGGAGCCGTGGCCATTGGTTTACAAGAAATGCTGTCACGGCCATGGGGTTTCTCCTTCCCCAGCCCTTAAGTCTGGGCGATGCGGCTGCGGGCGAGCGGGCAGCTAGCTTGCAGGACTGGAGGGAGCACGGAGAAGAGAAAGCA